TTTATTTAGTTTGTCTATTTTCATTTCAATGAACATCTACAGAGATTTTGGAATTCCATTCATTCATTGTTGCACCCTTCTCCCCGCACACCCCCCTCCCCGTTTGCTCCTCTCCTTGAAAAGCAAAAGAAAAACTCCCTCATTGGTACACAATCCCCCCCGTACCTCCCCAAACCCCACCGCCCACCCCCAAATATAATCCACTCTGCAACTCAATAATGATTTTTGATGACAGCAAAAATCAGTGGTTTTCAACCTCAGTCTGTGAAAACATTTTTAGTAGGGTTTGTTGTTTTTGTTTTTTTTTTTTTAAGGTTCTTATTGAAGGTCTCTGTTTCTGAGATTTGTGAGTCTAATTCTTGGAATCTGCGAAGTATCTGCAAGTCGCAACTCTGCGGCTGGAAGGAGTGGAAGACAACTATTTTCAGTAAGTTAACAGTATATCTGGGAACATTAAATTTAGAGGTTTTTTTTTTTTAGGGGGGAGGAGGATTTCTGATTCTAGTATAGGCTCTCTGGAGTGTGTGCAGAGGGAAAGAGTTCAGAGAATGGTACTAGAGTGAAGATGGGAAAGACCTGTGAGAGAAGCTGTAGAATACATGACACCTAGACCTAGGGGATACAGTAATTGGACTAGAGTCTGCCACGTGAAAAGGCACTGTGAGGTCCATCATTCTAAAAGATGACTTCTAATCTTTAGAAGCTAGAAATGGGCAAGATCTCTTTATGGTCCTAAAAGGGCAGCTTCCTTTTCTTCCTGAGACTAGGAGATGCATTTTTATTTATTTTTTTTTAAAAATTTGAGATTTTAATGAGTTTATAGAGAATTTGGGTTTTCATTCATTCATTGTTGTACATTTTCCTCCCTGCCCCCTCCTCCCAGTTCACTTCATTATTTGGGGAAAAAAAATTCTTTCATTGTTATACAGTCCCCCCACCCTTCCCCAGTCCATTTTATTATGCAGCTCTTATTCTGGACTCTTGTCATGCCAATAATACCTAATCATATATTCCTTTTATACAGTTCTCTACCTCGTCTGTTTCAATGCCGTGCACATTACTTATACCCTCTTTTCTTAGTTTCCCCTCAATCCCCATGTGAGCCCTGTTATATAACAGTGGCATTATGTAGTATTTGTCTTTTTGTGACTGAGATATTTCACTCAGCATAATGTCCTCTGTGGTCACCCATTTTATATATATTTCATGAGTTCTTTGTTTTTCACTGCTGCATAATATTCCATTGTGTGAATATACCAGTTTCTCTATTCATTTGTTGATGGGCACTTGGGTTGTTTCCAACTCTTTGCTATTGTGAAAGCAGCAATAGATAATAATCATTTAAGGAGATGTGGTCTTTGGTGTGGAGACTGACATAATTTAATGAGTGAAATGACTAAATAATGCATAAAATGTTCATGGATCTTTTCCTTTCTCTGAGACTTACCTTGGCCTCAGATGTCTTCAGAAGCTTCATCACCTCCCCTTCTCGGGCATAATCCAAAGGCGTATGTCCCATTTCATTCCTCTGTAGAGGATTGGCTCCTGGTAGGAAAAGATAAACATCAGAGGGTCAATGAGTAATCAATTGAGGCCCTTCTCTGGAGGTGCTTTAGAGCCCTGATTGCAATGTTAGGGATTCTTATGGAAATATTTAGCAAAAGAACCTACAAATTTATAGAAAGATGGGAGAATATATCAAGCTGCTCTGTAACAACAGTTCTTTTTTTTAAAAATAATTTTAATGAACATTTACAGAGATTTTGGATTTCCATTCATTCACTGCTGCACTTCTCTCCCTGCCCAGCCTTTTCCCCCAACCCCAGTTTGCTCCTCTCTTTTAAAAGTAAAAGAAACACTCCCTCCCTGGTACACAATCCCCCTGCACCCCTCCCACCACCCCAAGTACATTCCACTAAGCAACCTTAATTGTGGACTCTTGTGATAACCATAATACCCTATGATACACATCGCTTTTAAATGATCCACTCCCTCATCTGTTTCAGTGCAGTAGACACAATTTATCCAGTTTTTCTCAGTCTTACCCCAACCCTGATATCAGTCCCATTTTACAGCAGCAGCACCATGCAATATTTGTCCTTTTGCGACTGAGATACTTCACTCAGCATACTGTCCTCCAGGGTCACCCATTTTGAATAATATTGCATGAGTTCCTTGTTTTTCAATGCAGCGTAGTATTCCATTGTGCGAATATACCACAGCTTCTCTACCCATTCGTTTGTTGATGGGCATTTAGGTTGTTTCCAACTCCTTGCTATTGTAAACAAAGCCGTGATAAACATGGGTATGTATATATCTGCTTGGATGTCAGTTATGGTCTCTTTGGGATATATTCCCAGTAGTGGAATTGCTGGGTCAAATGGTATCTCTATTTGCAACTTTCTGAGAAAGTGCCATACAGCCTTCCACAGTGGTTGCACCATTTTACACTCCCACCAACAGTGAATAAGGGTTCCAGTTTCTCCACAACCTTGTCAGCATTTGTTGCTTGTGTAACAATAGTTCTTAGTTCTTTCTGACACAGTTGTCATGAGTATTAGGGCTTCTACACACTGCATGAAATATGCAGAAGCATACTACTCACATGGATAAACGCCACACACACAGGTGTGTGTCATGCATAGACAATACAGAAAACTGGACATACAAGCAAACGTACAACCCAATATAAATATACACAAACTCAAATCACAAAAATATTCACCTATTAAACACATTTGCTTAAAGATGAAACAAATTCACAAACCTATCTAAAAGAGTTCTTTTCTAAAGTACAGAATATGCCAAGCAATAATTAAAAAGATCTTCTTCTATTCTTGACTTTATCTTTAAAGTTTCTATTATTGTTGGAACCTTCTTTCTCAGAGTCAGCTGAGTTCTCTGGAAGGTGTTCAGTGTCCTTAACAATGGTAGCTGATAGTGTGTGATGTATATATACATGGGAGGGGGTGTGTGTGCCCATGCATGCGCACCTTCCCTTTCCCCATGTCCAGTCATTAGTTACTATGATTTGTGGACAAAGTACTCTGAGGATGACAAAAAGGCTAGTTGGGGGCCATGGATACACTTTGTTGAGAGAGAGTGTGTGTGTGTGTGTTTGATAAGCCTGTATCAAGTGTCCACTTTAAGGAAACCTTTGCAGTCACAGAAAAAAAAGGCTACTCTGCCCTCAATGTTGTCAGTGAGGGCTACTCTGCTTTTCAAAACTCATCCATCCCATTCAATTTGGCAAACACTGAATGAGTGGGGCCTGGGAACAAGGAAGAATCAGATCTGGCCTTGCCCCAAAGGCATTCTTATCAAGGCAGGAAGACAGAAACATAAGAAAAAAGCTGTGCTTTGTACACAGCAGATGCTCAATAAATATGTGTCAAATGAAACATTCAAGTAATAGTTAATTAGTATTCTTTGAGCTTCTTTCTTATTGGGGAAGGAAGCACTGTTTAGAAAGAAAGAAGTGCTAAGAAGTAATGAGTTGGCTGAGGACAATAAAGAGAGGTAAAGCCAGGTCAGTACTGGGCCTGGTTCAGAGTACATAATCAATGGGCAGTAAAAATCAGTGTTTTCAACTCGTCTGTGAAAATACTTTTAGGGTTAAAAAAAACCAACTTCCTATTGTTCCTATTATAGGTCTCTGCTTCTTAAAAACCAACAAATTCACGAACAATAGTAAATATTTATTAAGGTTTACATGTGGCTGTCTGGGCTGCAGAAGAGGCTAAGGCTCTTAGGAGGACTGGAGGAAGAGAGAAGTGAAAAGAGGCAAATGGTAGGAAGCACAATCTCGGGAAAGGAAACTTATTTTCAATAAGGAAAAGTAAAAGTTTTATATAACAATACTATTTTTGAATATTTAGTATTATTTCTAAATAAAGATAAACCATATACAAATGATAAACTATTACGTACTATAAAATCACCTACTTTAAAGCCAAACATTCAGTGGTTTAAAAATATATTTGTTGAGGGAGTTCTGGTGGTCTAGTGGCAAGAAGCTGCACTGCAATCCCAGAGGTATACCACATGCTCTGCGGGAGAAGGAAGGGCAATCTCCTCCTGTACCAGTCAGATCAGACTTAACAGTACACACACACACACACACACACACACACACACACACACGGAATAAAATAAAACAATAAAAATTTTATATATTTGTTGTTGTGTACTATCCAGTTGAAACTAACTCATAGCTGATCATCCAGTTTTCAGAAGCTGTAATTTGCATAGGAGGAGACTGCTCATCTTTTTCCTGCAGAGCAGCTAGTAGGTTTGAACCATGCACCTTTGGCTTGGAAGCATAATTCCTTACCAATAAGTGATTAGAATTTTGATAAATGTTGATAGTTGAAGAAAGGCTTCAGGCCTTTAGTTCATAGGGTCACTATGAGTCGTGCTCAACTTGAAGGAAATCAACAACAAAAACAAGAAGCCACTATAGAGTTCCTTAAAACATATTTATAAAGTTCAATAATTTTTAACATATTAGATTGCCTAACTGGAAAAGTCAATGAATAGATGTCCTTTTTATATTACTTGACCTCTTACAGCTATTGATATCCTGGCCACTCTCTCCTTTGGGTTCTGATACCACACTTTCCAGGTTTCCTTCCCACTTCTTTGACTTCTTTTTTTATGTCTATTGCAGACTCCTCTTGTACTGCCAGCCATTTAAGAGGTTACCAAAAGGTCAAGTCTTTGGATTCTATTTTTTTTTTAAATTCTATTTTGGCTCTAGAGAGAACTTCAACCATTTCATGGCTTCATTTACCACTGATGACTCCTAAATCCATAAACAACACCCACTTAACAGATTCCCAACCAAAATGTTCATCTGTTGGAACAAGGCCATCAGTAGCTCACATGCAAGTTCTAACTGAGTCCTTCAGAAAAGAAAAACAAACCCACGAGAGTAAAAATTTGACTGAAGATCAGATGAGCTGTGTGACATTGTTGTTGTTGTTCAGTGCCGTTGAGTCGCAGGCGACTCATAGCGACCCTATGGAGGAGAGTCCTCGACAAGGGTGCCTTTCATCCTCTCTCCAGGTTCACAGGGTTTCTGGAGGCAAGCTATTATGGAAGTGGATGCCACTCCTCCTTCCAAGCTTGTTTTAATCGGGGAGCTCCACCCCACTCTCTGTCCACACTGGGCAACCAGCCATTAACACATTTGACACATCAGTGTCACAGTGTTCAGCTTCACAGCAACCACAAGTCACTGCTGCATGGCAACTTGTTCACCAGGGCTATACGATCTAGAGGAATGTGTGAACAAAAACAATGAAACACTGGACCGAGGGCTGCAGGTCTGAGGGTCCTACCATGTCTTAGCAGTCTGGCATGCCCCAGTGCTGGGAAACTCCCTGCCCCAGACCCCCCATTCATCTGGCAAGTCCACTCTTCCAACCTCCTTATAGGCCCCCAAAAAACCACCACACTTGCTCAGAGTCCTCAAACCTACCTTGCCTCCAGCATGTGTGACATTAAGAACATCATATATATGAAGTAAGCAAAGGTCATTAAAAAGACAAGAAAAAAAGACCAAAATGAGTGTCAGAAGAGACTGAAATGTGGTCTTGAATGTAGAGAAGCTAAAGTGAAAGGAAGAAGTTATGAAGTGAGGGAGCTGAAAAAAGAGAATTCAAAGGGCAGCTTGAGAAGACAAAGCATTTTTAACCAAAGCATTTTAACAAAGACTTGGAGTTAGAAAATCAAGAGAGAAAAACAAGGTGGGCATTTCTCAAGCTGAAAGAACTGAAAAGAAAAGGAACTAAGCTTCATGTTATCATACTGAAAGATTATATGGGCAAAATATTAAATGATGCTAAAGAACAATCAAAAGAAAACTGTAGGAATAGATTAAAAAATAATTTCTTGATGTTCAGTCATTTCAAGAGGTATTACATGATCAGAACCAATGGTATTGAAGGAAGAATTCTGTTCAAGGAGCACTGAAGAAATTGGCCAAAAATAACAATCCAGGATACCAATTGAGATGTTTTAATACACAGATAGAAACTTGGATATGCTCACTTGTTTATGACAGAAAATCTGGAAGACTGCTATCCAGTCAACTGGCTGTAAGAGCTATTTATTTGTGCCCATTATAAAAGAAATAAAACAGAGTGTGGATATTATTGAACAATGTCATTAATGTCACATATAAGTAAAGTTTTCCTGAAGATGCTTAAAAAATGGGTGAAGCACTACATTGCCAAAAAACCTCTGGAAATTCAAGCTGGACTCAGAAGAGGTTGTGGAATGAGAGATATAATTTCTGCTATCAGATAGATCTTGGCTGAGAGCACAGGATACCAAAAAGATGTAGACATGATTTCACTGACTATGCAAAGGTATTAGACTGTATGATTAATAATAAATTATAGATAACATTGAGAAGAATGGAAATTCCAGAACACTTAACTGTGTTCATGTGGAACTTTTACATAGACAAAGAACAGGCTAAGAGAATACTGCATGATTTAAAATCAGGAAAGCTGTGTGCTAGAGTTGTAAGTTGGCAC